GAAATACTCGTCACTAAAAAGAAAAAGTGGTGAAATAATTGTGTTGGTCATAATTTAACATATTTAGTATGTATGCTGGCTGATTTGTTACACTTGTGCGCGTCGCGTTGTCGATCAAGTGCTAAACGGCGCGTTATCGCCTTGTCATCTTGTCGTCCTTACGCTAGCGATACACGCCAAACGCTTTTACACTTTGTCGCTTGACTCAACTGGAAGAACTAGTTTATTGGCGCTTTGATACTCACGACAACCATCCAAAAGACAGAAGTCCATGAAGATGGCACATAGATCGACATTTAACATTCAGCTGAACATTCGATTTATCATTGTTTAGCTGGTATTGGAAGCTGGCAAGACAATTAGAAAAACAGTCAGCTCAACATTCAATTTATCACTGTTAAGTTGGGATGTGAAGCTGCCTAGACATTCAGCACAACATTCGGCTCGACATTTTGTTTGTCTTCCTTTTGAATGTCATACATACATGTAAGTGGTTTTTCACAATATAAAATTGTTATACCATGATCGTGAAAGCGACTATGTTCAGGTTTTTTTCCTGACTACCTAATAACATTAAAATTAATTTACTAAATTTAATTCATTCAATTATCATTATTAATAAATCAACAACAAAAATAATAATGATGAAAATTATTGCATGTATATTAATAACACCACATGCAAAAATACGGAAACTTTTAAGATTATTCGATTGCTTCAAATTTTATTGCATTAAACAAATACATGTTTGTAGCAAGTACAAAATATATAAACACAAACAACACAAGCACATCGATTTTTATCAGATCATATGAATAAAATACAGATCACATTTAATAAGAGCCAATTTCTTAAAGTGTTAGCATGATATAATTATACATTTGCTTCAACCATTTATTACAGTTCACGATGATTCGGACATTATATTGATAACCTTTTGCTAAGACGGCCATGTGTGGTAATACCGTTTAAAATCTCTTCTCAAATCGGAGAACTTCGGGCAAATAAGTAAAATATAATTTTCATTTTCTATTTGATTAAATTGGCAATTTTCACGAAAACGTTCATTTCTTAGAATATTACGAAATCTCCATATTCTACAGCTAAATTATGGGTCTAGATGAGGCTATTCTATACTTTGGTTCTTTAATTATACTTAAGTATTTTTCTAAATCAAAAGTATGTTTAAATAAACTGTATGTATCAAGACGAGGTGAATTATTTATCAATGTATACCATTTCGTAATAAAAACTAAGAATTCTGAATTTAATTGCTTTAAAATCTACCTGTATGTTATACAAATGTATTGGTTTTCCCATTTTGCATCTGAAGCTTTATCGGGAACAGTAAACTCTCCAGTAACTATCCATTGTGTGTTAACCTTAATGCTATAGTTTATTTCTTCGAAAGTTTTATTGCTGCAAATATGTGCATTAAACTGATAAATCCCGTCAGTTGGTGCAGTAAAAATCCCCGTATCTTTATCGAAGGCGTTGCCTTGGTTTAGTAAAATTGTGGAGAATTTTATGGCTTCAGAACCCGTGTAGCTTACTGCATCCATCACATTAAATGCTACTGTCTCTGAAAAAAAAATCAAATATACTTTATATAAAATAAATAAAATTATTCATGAGCATTCGATAATGTCATCTATGAACATTCGAAATGTCTCTTCAAATAACGCAAGACTTTTTACTTCAAATAACGCAAGACTTTTTACTTCAAATAACGCTAGACATTTTAGAAAATTTATTTGTCATTTTAGTATGGTTTGCTTGTTTTGTTTGATGTTAAGCCACACCGACACTGCAAAGGTCATAAGGCGACTTTCCACCTTTTCTGATGGAGGAAGACTTCGGAAAGACTGTGCCTTTTTCATTTTTTCATACACGAACGGGCACTGAAGCAGAACCACCGTCTTACTTTAATAGGCTAGCCGAATGATGGTTTCCTAACATGAAAGAACTCAAAGACCTGAGGGAATGAAACCCAATTGAGATAAAGGGCAAGTTATTTCAACATTCAAGACTTTAACATATGCATATTTGATTTGGTTTCCAAGTTCCGGTAAACTATCAATCAATTTAACAAAATGACCAACACAGATAAAACAAATTAGACTAACGTTTTTCTTTTTCTGTTGCTTGATCCAACTCTTTCATTTGCTCTTCCAAAACCGCCAGTCTTTTGGAAAGGTCTGAAAGGCCATCCTTGCAAGTAGTTTTGACCTCATCAGTTAAATCATCTAAACCGGAAGTGCTCTTATCCACGTCTTTCTTAATATTTGCCACAGCTTCTGACACGTTTTTCATATTTTCTAAATAAACAAATCAAAAGCTATTACTAAAGGTGATTCATACACCATCTTATACCAAATAAGGCAAGAATTTGGAATGTCAGCATATATTAGTTACTTATTTTCAATAAGAATAATAATCACTGAAGTTAATTGATTTATTGATTGATTAATTGATATCCCCAATGTACCATTTTGTTACTGCAATGACAACATGCTGAAATAAAAGATGCATTAAAATTGTTTAATTTCAAGTTTAAGAAAACTGTTTTCAAATTGCAATATATTGTCTATCAAACAGTGAAGGTTTTTTTTTTGTTTGTAAATATTTTCATTTTGAAGAAGCCACAGCTTTTCCTTTTTCTTAAGTGGGCTGTAAACCAAAAATAAAACCGTAAATTTTTTCATTTAAAACTAATGTAAACCAAAAATTTGTTCCAAATTTTAAAACTTAATGAAAAAACCGCTTTTTAAAAATTAATCATTAAAAGGGGTTTTAAACTTCTAGAAAAATTCATATTAAAGCAAAAAATTAAATCGAAAAGGCGCCACAAATGATTGGAAAAAAGAGAATAATTTGAAGCTAAATTCATACTTGGCATGCATTTTATGATGTTATACTCTTGTACAAAACATTGTGTTAGTGAATCACATCTTTAACGACTAATCATCTGGAAATTATGTTTTCTATTATTGTTGTAAATAGGTCATCAGTGAGCGGCGAACAATTTAATATAAAAATGCGTCACCAAATATTAGAACAATACAAGGCTTCATTGCAAAGTTAACACACATAAACCAATGCAAGAAGAAGAAAAATGTGTCATAAATATGTGAAAAAGTAGTGGTCTGATACAAAATTTGAATTCAACCTGCATTATATGATGGTATGTATGTGTAAGAAAAATCATCATAATCTATTGCCTTATTATAGAGTTATTAAAGGGGTCATAACTTTGTGAAAAAATCTAAATTTGAACTTGATCTGTACTTTATGGTATAACATCTCTCATCTACGTCACCAATGTACCAAGAATTATTATAATCCATTTTCTTTTAAGAGAGTAATCGACCGGAAACCATGTTTTCATTAAATATAGGCTAAAAGGTGACATAACTCTGTGAAAAATATAGTATGATGTCAAATTCGAATTTGACCTGTATTTTATGATGTTACATCTGTGAATAAAAAAATATTAAATCGATTGCCTCGTATGGATATCATGCATTGGACTGACAGACGGACTGACGAATGGACGAACCGACTAACGAACTGGCTCACTTCTTTATAACTCAACCTAAGCTTCGTTTGAGGAGGTATAAATATTTTAGTAAGACAGAAAGTACCTACATTAAAAGCAAAATGTTTGCAAATTTTCGTTACATGAACAGAAGATTCATGACACAAGCTGCGTGAAATCATCGCTTACCCTACTTAAAAGAGAAAAAAAAAAGAGAATAAATGTTTGGTGGCGCTTTAACCTGTGTTTATATATTATTCACAGGCATTGAATAAAAATAGCAAACTTGTAAAATCATTTTGCAAATATGCCAATATATGTATGTAAACTATGTGATTGAATAGTGTTTTCAAAGAATATACTGTACGAGGGTTGTCCAAAAATAATTCGTGCACTGCAGTTATTGTCGTGAGAGTTATTAATAAAAAGAAATGAATTATATATCACTTGAAGGGGAAATCTGTCTCAAATTAGAAAACAAAAGAAAAAGCCGGGTAACCGGCGTGTCGTGTAAAAGAATGGTCATTAAAATACCTTAGTAACGTAATACCGGCGCACGGCAAAAAATTGGGTTAGTTCATTACTGTTATTGTATTAATTGTTTGTTGCTTGTAAAGTGGCATTTGCTTTTTATGTTATAATTTGTTTTACTGTCAAAAGAGGAATGATTGATGCAAATTATTATGTAGTTTTTATTGTTCTTATGCAAAGGACAAGTAACATATCCCACCATTGAACGAATATATTGGACAACCCTCACCACATAGTTCGGCATTACGGACGGACGTCTGCATGACCGGTTGTAATCGTCTACCGACTCTCTCCCTTCTACAGAGCGTTTGTGCCATTTGAAAACCAGCCTTCGTGACACTGAACTTGTCCCCGCTTGCCATTTTAAGTTCTTTGTAGGTATCTGTTTGTGTTTTACCAATTTTTGCACAAAATTTAATGATCGTCCGTATTTCCAGACATTTAGCGACTGACATTTTTACGTAATTACAATATTAACGACCTCACACCAATGTTTGTTTACGACCGTTAAAATAGGGCAAATGACGTCATATTTTCTAGTGACGTTAGGAATACGTACACATACATTTCCCTGAATTTTATCGTTTATATGTAGCGTTTAAAGAATGCCGTGATGCATCAAAGTAATGAACTAACCCAAATTTTTGTAGTGCGCCGGTATTAATTTACCAAGGTAACTGTATGACGATTCGTTTTCACGAAATGCCGGTTACACGTTTTTTCTTTTGGTTTCTCATTTGAGACATATCTCCCCTTCAAGTGATATATAATTAATGTTTTTCTATCAATAACTCTCACGACAATAACTGCAGTGCACGAAATTTTTGAACAGCCCTCGTATTTTGTCACCCTATTTGTTTGTTAAATTTTGTTCACAACTGTGCAGGACAAAGCTTTACCGGTAGAAGAGGAACTCAAATCATACGTCTGTCTTTCCAAATTTTCAGACAGGTCTGAAAGTCTATCCTCACACTTTTGTTGATCTCATCTGTAATCACCATTAAGTTATCTAAACCGGATGTATTATTCTCAAGGTCATTCCTGATGTTTCTAACATCTGCTGCAATGCTTCCTATACTCTCTATTATGCAAAAATAAAATAGAAAAATATTTATGTATATTATTTTAACATTACAAGATAGTAAAAAGAGAAAAAGAAATACAAGAAATTCTTTACAAGAACGGAGACAATGATAGCTGAACCCACTTTAGATAGAAGTTAAATATTGTCATGCGAAACTTTTTAATTTGTTTTCATGCATAAATCAGCATGGTCAATCTTTGTTAATTATATCTGCTGCATTGACTTGAAGAATATGAAAACAGTGTGTCCACACAGGATTTTTATTTACGCAGTATAGTTTATACCATCTATATTGCAAAGAAAAATTTTTTTGTTCCGCCCCGTAAACTGATTAGCGGTTATTCCTTACACAGATATTAAACGAACAACATGAATATAGAATAATAAAATTGTATTATTTTACATAAGTATAGTCTCATTTTATTGACCTGTCAATTATGAATAAATTATAGCACTATTTAAATTTTCTGTTTTTCGTGTATTTAACGAGAATTTATATTGAAAATATAAATAATGTTTGATAGTCATGAAAAAAGCTCGTTGTTACATTCGCAATAGCGCAGTCTGATAATAAGTGATTGCCTAATACGCTCGTATGTGAAAGGTCTGTTGTTCAATCCCCACTGTTTCCATTGTTTTAGACTAATTTTTCTTATTTTTTGCAGTATATTTTAATAAAAATGGTTGAGTGATTGCCAAATTGTCGACACGGATATGAAGCAACTTAGCAACACTGTTTTGTATCAATTTGTATTGTGTGTTACAGTTTTAAATTGACATTTTCAAATACTTAAATCCGAATCAGTTTAAGATATAAATTCTTAAACCATATTATCTTAAAAGAATATAGACTTTACCACTTTAAAACATATTAAAACAAAACGAACAACATAATAAAACAATCATAGTTTCATGCTGAAAATATATACATGTATAAGAAGAACAAAAACAGAGACCGACGCGTTTACGATCTTACAAAACGTAGGGCACTTAGAAATTATAAACCCGTAGTTTACCATATAGCGCTATAACGCTCTTTACAATTACTACACAGAAACAAATTATAGTAAATTACATCTTACTGTGTGCATCTTACGGAACTATTAACAATTGTGCCGTATAAGCAGTATGCAATTGACAGGATAATAAAATAAAACAAAAATCGTCTTTTTAAATTATTATGACAGGTTTAATTTATCACAAGTTCATCATTCAATAATCTGTAAATTTCAACTAAACTCGAATAATTTTATTGCGTTAAACATACAATGTATGATTATAGCACATACAATATATCTAAAGGCAAAAGACATGGATTTTTCAAGGCGCACAAAAATACAATGTTAAACATAATTTATAATTGTGATGTGTTAAAAGTTCTGTAAAACTATTTTCTAATTAAATTTATACAAATATTAAGAAAGATCTCTTACAGTTATTTAGACTCAGACAGTAATAAATTAGTAAAATTCTGTAATCTATGCCATGTTTAAAAGTTAAAAGTAGCGTCTTAAATACTTTTTGTGAGGTCAGCATATTGTGAACATGTAAACAAAAAGTGAAATTCGTTTTCAATTCGCCTTGAAGAACAATTATTGCATATTCTTTCCAGTCTAGGTACGTTTGTTTATCTTCCCTTACAATAAACTAGTCGTGAGATGACGTGCGAAATTTTGCAAGCCCTACTCGAAATCTTTTGTCCTCAATATAGTTAAGATAAAATTCAATTTATATTTTATACAACTGTATGTATTTTGACGCCTAGAATTATTGATAGAACAAATAAATTTCTAATACGTCGTTTTAATAATACGAGTCAAAATTAACATGCTAAAATTGTTTTGCCAAATAACCGGAATCCGGCATTTATCAAATAAACTAATTGATAAGGCCCAATTACAATTATCATAGTGTAAAGTTTCCTCCAACATGTTTAAGCATTTTAAGGGTTTTGAAAAGAAGCAATTCTTTGCTTTACATGTCAATAATTTTATCCAATATTTACGATTTTAATTTAATGTCTAGATGCTCAATTTCTAGCTAATTGCCGTGTAAAGGAGCGTCTACATTTGTAAGCCGTTTGACAGATAAAGCTTTCTACAGAATAAAAGTGGTGAATGAGTTAAAAATCAGGTCCGACATGATTCCCCAGATTTCAGCCGCTAATCAACGTAGACGCTACCAATAATGAAATAAGTCACGTTTGTGTAGGACACGGGGTTAATCAAGTGACAAATTTAAAGGAGTACGAACCGTGCTGGGCTATTCGCTTTTGTGTTCGGTTCCAATTGCAATTGTTATATAAATGAACCCCCAAAT